AATATCAAAAATAACTTTTAAAAAATAAAAAATATTTTAATACATTTCTAAATAAAATAAACTTTAAAAAATAATTACACCCACCCTCACTAATAAACTATCCAACTCTCCACCAATTTTGAAGTGGTATGTTATCAAATCTATCTGCGAGACCAGACCAGGGTTTGATTATGGTAACTTCTACATCTGAGTGTGGATGATACACAGTTTCAATCCAACCGTGCAATTGTTTTTGGACCCACTTCACTTTTGAGTTCCGAAGGAATAAAAAATGGGCAGAGCCCATCTAGATATATGTTACATTGTTTTAGCTCGGCCGAAACTATGAAGAACTAGCTCCATTCGAGGGTTCCATTGATGAATGATATGAGAATGTTTCGGACACCAAAAGATACAGACATAAGTACTACATTACAGAGGTATTGATGTGTTTGTGAAATTTTGTTGGTAACAACGTACAGACATAAGTACTACATGTATGTGTTTGTGAAATTTTGTTGGTAACAACAGGCTGCCTCTCCATTGCTATGTTTGCATTATTATTGACATTGTAGGGCTTGCCAATTTTAATTCCTGCTCAGACGGGCCAGAAAGCTTAAGCTTTTCTGAAAGGCTAACAAGCAGACTCATCGTCAATACATGTTTATGCCTGTCTAGCTCCATTTGTGGCTGCCTAATTCAGCTAATAACATAGTTTTTTGCGGTTAAATTGATGTTTTAGAGATTTTGTTTCCTTGATTCAATTAAGTCTATACAGATCTCAGAATGAAAAATTAATTTATTAGCAGACCAGGCTGATGTTTGACTAGAATAGTATTTGATTACAGTTTTAAAATAGAAAAAAACGAAGTTAATGGAAATAGAGAAGAGTTATCTCTTACACCTCTTGTTTCTGCTTTCCTTTTCTTCTTGAATTAAAAAAATTATAATTTATTTCAAAATGGTTTATCCAATCATATATATTTTTATCCTTTATAAATCTTTTTTTTTCTAGAAGACCAACAAGATAATTTAAGATTTTATTTAGTTGAGGTGCATCCAGATATCCATGTTAATAAAAAGAATTTATTTAGAGAAAAACTTAGAATTTGTTTGATATTGTGATCTAATCGTGTTTTTTAAAATATTTGATTTTTTTATTTTAAATTATTTTTTATTATTTTAGATTGTTTTAATATATTAATATTAAAAATAAAAAAAATATTATTTTAATATATTTTTAAATAAAATATACTTTAAAGACAACTTTTATTACACTCCTAAACATACTTAGCGCTTATAATCTACGTTGACACACAAACCGGCTCGAGGATATTCCTATTGAATACAAAAATTAATTTGTTGACTAGTGCAGCAGACAAAAAACTTCAATAACAAGCAATGCAATGTCACTGAACAGTTGTTTAACTGACCTTAATTTTATAGAGGTCTTAATTTCAAAGCTATCTCATAAGAAAGTACGCACTGGAGAGGGGAAAAATGAAACAAAAAATCTGTCATCAAGAGAGCAAGTTAGCTAGCCACAAGTACAAATCGAAGCTGAAGCATCAGTCTTATTTGCTGCTGCCTCCAACTTCTTTATTTTCACTTCATTGAGAACTTTTTTAGCCCACTCAGTGAAGTAAGTCTCGTTGAGTCCAATCCTGCCAGGCTTGTAAATTGACATGCACCGCCGATCATCTTCGCCGTAGGGGCATTCATATCCAGTAGGGTCTCGCCATGCTCCTTGGTGTCTCATCCCAGACCAGCTTGCCATCCAGTGAAAAACATATTGGCCTACACCAGCAAGTTTTAACCATCCTTTTGGGAAGAACTCCATCACCCTGCTGTTTTTGTCCATTAGGAACAAGTTTGTTAACTGAGCACCATGAGGAGATGCTAGAATATCTGTCAAGCTCATCAACTTCACCTGGAAATATCAAGAAAATATTTATCAAACATTGACTTCATTAATGTAAGAAGGTGTTGATCATATACAATCATTTTGTGTTTCTTTAACTAGACTACCAGCAAAGATAGACAGTACTTAAAGTGTGTTTGGTGAGCAGATGAAGCTGAACGTTCAGGCAAAACTGTCCCGCGAGGAAAGGTGAGATAGAAATCTGGCTAGGAACAAAATCGTTTTTTGCTATGTCTCATGTTTGCATCAAATACTAGAACAAGTAAAGTTCCTATATTGTTCTACCTTAACAATTTGGAGTATACTCGAAATTAATGTGCTTGATGTAGAATTTATAACATTTCACACAATCAATGGTTATTTATGCTAACTATGGCATTCTCTTACTTTGAAGTTTGAACTCACCAAAAATTGGGGAGTGGCCTTTAATGCTGTGTACATGCATGCTATCATGTGGCTTGCCTTTTGGGCAAGTCTTGAGAATCACTCAATAGAGCTTTCTTTAGGGAATATTAATATTGAATATTTCTAGACCATAAGAAATGAAAATCGTTGACCCTTTATCTTTTCCTTCTCCATGAATTTCGCAAATCAAATGAACGAAGACAATTTTCAGCAAAATCTAAACTTGAGCTTGCCTGTTGATACGAAAAGGTAGAACAAGTGCCAGCATGACCTCCACCTTCTCTCAAATAAAACAACGCACATGACCAGCAACCTTATGAGCACATACGTGTTTGTGTAAACATTTTCAATATAGTAGTCCTAAGTGCTGTGCTAAAAGGCTCTTCTCCTTAAGGTTGTCAATGCATTCTCTCTAGTGGGATTCACACATATCCCACTAGCTAGTTAATATACTTAATGTGTTTTAGGTTCTAACTATTAATGAAAAAAGAGAAAATGGACAGAATCTTACAAACCTGCTCGCAAAATGTTAGATTGTTGGAGTATGCCACCATCAACCTGCACCCATCTATCTTAGCGCACTCCTTCTCAAAGATTCCAATCACTGCAGATTCATTCTTGAATGATCTTGGACCAGTTCTCATGAGCAGGGTCATGCCAATCACTGGTAAACCTTGCTTATTAACTTCAGCAATCCTGCCTTCTAAGCTTAAATTACAATACACCTTAGCTTTGCACCTCATCAAATCATAAGTCTCAATCCTCCTGTCTCTTGACATGTCACCTTCATTGTGCCTCATCACCACAGACTTTTCAAAGCAAACCGGTTGACTATCATTAACCCCTTCAAAGTTTTCAATATATGGGGCTCCACCAAATGTTGCCTCTATTAGGAGCTTTAGCCATGGACTCATATTGAACCTTAGCTCACCCCAGTGGTACAGAATCCATCTACTTGGAGATTCACACCCATTTCTTCTATGCCAAGAAACAAATGGTACCATTGCTGATAACCCATGCCAAATATTATCGTAGTCATAATGGTTATATGACACAAAGGTTAGTCCTTTTAGAAGAGTGGCATTGATAGGCAATGCTTCAGGCCATGCCAGTGCATACGAATTCCAAGAACCATCATGTGTATCCTTTCCTTTCAAGCAAAGTAACCTACCTTTTGACGATTCTGAAGGAAACTGCTGATTTGGCACTTCACCTTCTTCACGGGTATCATACATAGAGCTCATGAACCACGTGTGACCTTGAGGAGCTGTATCTGCATAGCGTAAGTCCTTAAGGGGGAGAAATGTGACCGCCTGCCGCAGTTTTTCAGCCAAGGATTCGAGTTCTTGAGTGCAATTGGTTACTCTTTCCCAATGGTGCATGAGAGACCATGAAGTTGAAGATGGTGGAGCATGGAGAAACTGGATGTGGTAGAGAGTGAAGAGAGAAACACAAAGGGCTAGAAGGAAGATAGAGAGTTTAGGGGAGTAGAGAGAAGAGACTGACATGTTAGTGCGTTGTTTAGGATAGGAAGGTGTTTTGAGAGTGGGATTTGTGGGTCTGCTTAGTTCTGGAGGTGATTTGGCTATGAAAGTAATGAGATTCTCTCTCTTTCTCCCTCAAAAGTGAGAAATCACTGTAAAGAAATTAGATCACCATATCATGCATATTTCTCTTGCTTAAAAACTATACAGTTGAGTAGAAAAGAAACCCCCCCAATTAAAAGTGGTGTCAAATGGAAGCAAGATAATCAAAAGAAGAAAACAAGAGTAAAGGGGGAAAAAAATACAGGAAAGATGCAATCGTGTGACTACAACTTGCATAGACTTACAAAACTGAAATAACTTGCACATGCAGTTTCCGCACATATTCTGAAACTGGATCTGACCGAGCTCAAAACTTGTATTGCGGTTTGTCAAGTCAAGATTATTACGAAGAAATAACATTGTTTTGAATAAATAAAAAAAATGAAATGATGTTGATTTGAACAAAAATTAAGAAAAAAACAATTCTGAGTTAACTCAGCAATTCTCACATAAACTTGACTAAATCAATCAAGTTACGAGTTTGAATTTCCATGTTAATCAATCAAGTTTAACTAAGCCAACATTCACTCCAACTTGAAAGAAAACCTGGCCCGGACCTAACTCTAGATTAACAGATTATCAACATCGAGTTTAATAACTATATGCTAAACCATCCCAAGTTCATGAGAATTGACAACGCTGGAAGTCATTGGACTATTTACATGATGAATTTAAACCTTTTTGTGTAATTAATGTTTTTATTCATGCTTAGGATCATACGGTCATCGTATACTTCAAAAGTCGAGCTTCATTGAAAAGCTACAACCATGCAATATTTTATTGTTTTCTTGACTTCTGAAAGCAAGTTTTGACAGCCGAAACAATTGACACGGGTGGAAGAGTATGATGCACAACATGAGAAGATCCAAATTTACTAGTTGAAACTGAACCCTCAAGTTACTTGTAATGATTTCCATGTTTAAAGTTCTTTTAAATTAATATAATACAGCTTTGGGATCCCCCATCCAAAACTCTTTGGAGTCTACTCAAAATCAGCTGTTTCTTTCTTTCTTTTTGCCAACACTAAAAATCCGTAATTATTAGATCCCAAAAATTCCACCCGTTTCGAGTCTATGGTTTGATGAATAACGATAATGAAAATAGACAGAACCAAAATAAAATCAGACACTCAACACATTTTAGTTCTACAACTCAAAATCGTACATATGTTACATGTCAGGCTTCATTTGTTGAAAAAAACCAACATTGAACTGAAGCTTCAGGCAAAGCATGCCAAGCAGTAACACATGCTATTTACACAGGAAGCTTAGAAGCCACATTGTACTAGTAATACAGATCAGGCTAAATGAAAGAAATGAAACCAGTTGCTCACCGATAAAACACCAGATGGTTCTCACAAATTAAAGAAACAAGAATATTTTAGTTGCCACTTACTTTCACCTAAAAGGTTGTTTTATTAATGGTCTTTATTCTTCCTTCTCCAAGCAGCAACAAATCCATTGCCACAGGGTTTTCTTCCGTTGCAGTTATAACTAACAGTGGCGATGCCTGGCAGCCGAGTCAGCATTTTTACACAACAGGATCAAAATGCTGTACAGAGATTGTTAATCTTAATGTTAGAGGAACACTCTTGTCGGATAGGGCTTGTGGGCCAACACAACCTGCTTCTCTTTGGTTCAGATATCCTCACACGTGATATTGCCACGGTGAGAGCATCAACCAATCCACAGTCTTGCTCTTCCAACCTTGACCTAGAACCATCAGATGATAAAATTAGGCTAGAGTCATCACTGAGAAAACCACTGGCTGTTATCCTGTATCTCTCTGACTCCAACCTATTTGTGACAGTTAGTTGTTGAGAAGTCAGTGTTGCATGGTCTTGAAACTTTGGTTTTTGGTTAAGTTCCTTCTGTGTTGGTTCTGTATAGAACAAGATCCATGGATGTCCTGAAAAATCATGCATTTGATCATTCACACTTGTCTGGTTAAGTTCCTTCTGTGTTGGTTCTGAATAGAACAAGATCCATGGATGTCCTGCAAAATCATGCATTTGATCATTCACACTTGTACAGTAATAAAACTACTCTGGGAGATAGAGAACTTGGATTTTAATGTCTCAAAAGAAAGAAAATCTGGATCATTAAATAGTTAACTGTAGGAAAATTAACGGCATGAGAATTGCTGAGTTTGGAAATCGATGAATAAACATCTACTCCATGAAATATAGATCTAAATAGTAGCAAGGAAGGTGTTCTTTAAGTATGTCCATTACACTAATGCATTAAATAGTTAACTGTAGGAAAATTAATGGCATGAGAATTGCTGAGTTTGGAAATAGATGAATAAACATATACTCCATGAAATATAGCACAGTTCCCCAATCTAAATAGTAGCAAGGAAGTTGTTCTTTAAGTATGTCCATTACACTAATGTAAATACTGAGTCAAACATCATAATATTGTGCAAGTAGGATTCTCACATTATCATATTGCATGACTATCAAATAACCAACTCCCATAAAAATATTATCAGATTATACTACCATCTGGGTTCAACTCAGAATTGCAGGCAGCTGGTGCAACTGGACAAGATAACGGAGACAATTCAATGTATTCCACAGAGAACCTCAATATTAGTCATGTACTGAAAAGAAAACGAGAGACAACTTTCTTGTCCAAATAGCAGCAATAAGGGTTCCAACCTTTAAAAAGGCTTGATGGTTCTCCTCTTCTGATAAACCCCACCCATAACAATACAATGCACACAATCTATTTGTACTCCTGCTTTTGGTTCCACCACAACTGGTAAATCATCTTAAAGAAGTCTCTTAATTTTGATGACCTGATTCCTAGTTTTGTTCTCGTAAGCAATCAAACTAGATTGGCCTATAAAAGATTCAGAGTTCAAACAAAGAATATATTTTTTTGGTGGCATTTACTAGAAAGCAAATGGAGCATATGGTAAATTGTGAGATGCAGCCAGGCTGTCTTCGTGGAAATTTGATGTGAGAAAGTGAACATTCTTTGAATCAAGTGTCATTCTGATAATCAAAGTTAGTGAGACGGACCTAGAACCATTTTTTAAATAAAGTTTGTTAGAGTGGTGAAGAAGCTTACCTAGTATTTCATCAGCAGTTAATCTTGCTGAAACATCCCTTGTCAGCATATGAGCAACTAACTCCCGTGCAGGTTGAGATACTGATTCCCATAATTCACTTTTGAAGTCAAGGTTGACCTTCTTAATAGCCTCAAAGACAGCATCCAATGAATCACCTTGAAATGGAAGCACGCCAACCAACAAAGTATGAAGGAGGACACCAGCACTCCAGATATCAACCTTTTCTGAATAATCACCAGCTAAAACTTCTGGTGCAACATAGGCAGGGCTTCCAACCGCACCTCTGAGGCTCTGACCTGCAGGAACAAAACACAAGTTTATTTATTATAGCAATCAACACATGATTGAGCTGCAGAGAAACAACAGCGGAAATGACACCAGTATTGCAGAACTGAAGGACGCAGAAGATTTTGGAAAACTTTGTATGCATACAGTAAATAGTTAAAACAGAAGGAATTTGAGAAAGAAAAGAAAATGTGAAAGGAATAAAATATACACGCTTATATATGTGGGAATGTGCTTGGATATAGCAAAATACATAAAAAAATATATTAACAAATCACAATTACCATTTGACATCCTCACAGCTAGGCCAAAGTCTGCAAGCTTCATCAGCCCAGAGGCTGTAAGGAGGATATTCTCCGGTTTTATGTCCCGATGAACAACTCCCATGTCATGGCAATATTTGATAACTGAAACCACTTCCTTGAGTATACTAGCAACCCTATGCTCCGGATACTGCCTTTGCTTAGCCATCTGGTCGAGCAATCGTCCCCCAGTGCAGAGCTCCATGACAAGATAAAAGGATTCTAAGTCCTCATACACTGCCTTCAATGTCACCACACCAGGATGACCTGAGAGGTGCTGCATAATCTCCACTTCCCGATGCACAAGCTCCTCTCCCTTGCGCAGCATTTTGCAAGCAAACTCTTCTCCGGTCACTTTACTTCTACACAAAACCACCGACCCAAACTTCCCTTGCCCAATAGATGCACCCAAGTCATACTCTTTCTCAATTTTTTTCTTCCTGCCCAACTGAGTTGCCACATCAATACACCCAATTTTCCTCTTAAGACCCCTACAAAGTGGATCTGCAGGGACACTCCTACAAGGTGGAGCAGTGAAAACAACTTTAACTACACTTCTACTAGAACCAACAGCTTCTTTATCCTCATCTTCCTTATACTTCTTCCTTTGCCTCGAATAATCTCCCAATGACAACCGCGGCCACATCACTGTTAATGGAGCAAGGGACTTGCAAAATGAAGGCAAAATTTCTAAGCCCTTCCTCTTCCTTCTTAAGGATTCCATCAAACTTTAAAATCAAGCAATTCCAAAACACCACAACCATGCAACCCAGAAAATTATTACATCCTTACACTAATAACATTGCTCCAAAAATTTACAAAAGGAATAAAGATAACCTAAAACTCTCTTCAAGTGAAATCAAAGCAACAAGCACTCTATCACAAGACTGGATCTTTGCATACATTCTGCAACTCCAACAAATGGGTATCAATCAAAACACTCCTTTTACTCTACTCGATCCTAATTAAAAAAAATGAATATTAATTCAAAATCACTTCAACACCTACACAAATATTTTTTTTTTAAAAAAGGAACTAAAGAAGCAAGATGGAACCTTTGAACACCAGAAGCCTCTTGTTCTTCTTCTTCCGATCCATACTCATCGATGATTCAAAGACTTCAGACATTGATTGACTTGGATTAATAAACAAAATCTGCAGTCATTAAAAATACCCCAACATGAGAATAAAAAGTCTAAGCAAAAACAAAAAGGCCTTGCTTAAGCAGTTTCAAATAAAGGAATATACTGTTAGATCCCATAATCATATATGAACTTTTACCTATTTAGTACCTAACAGAACAAAAATTTCCACTTAACAAAACCAACGACAACAAAAAAAAAAAAAACTATACAAAACCCAACTTGTTTGCTCGAAACTGGGGAAACAAAAAGGAACTAACAGTGAAAAAAGCAAATACCCAACTCAAGTAAAGCTAAAACATAAGTGGGTTTGGTCTAGTTAATTCCATTAACTCACTATCTAATCCCAAAAAGAAAAGAAAAAAGAAAGAAAGAAGGAAAAGACCCCAGTTACCTTTTGTTTTCTTATATTTTCCCAGGAAGCAAACAGAAACTGGACAAAGAATGCTAAGGAAGGATGTGATTGTAACACCATACCTTCATGGGGAAGAAATGAAAGAAAGATTGAAACTTTATGGTTGTTTAAGGAGGATTAAAGAAGGATTTCATGGAAAGGGAAAGTTTCCTTCAACTAGCCGAAGTTTAGTTTTTGATTTTTGATTTTTAGAGAGAAAAAGAAAAAGGACACTTGTCTACACGTGAACGACAACAACCGTTGGAATCTCGCGCGTTTCTCTTAACTACTAGTAGCCTACAAGTATAGCCAGTTTTTGTTTTCGTCGTCAAACTGTACTTTAAAAAAAAAAATTGAGAATTTATTTTAAATTATTTTTTAGTTATTTTTAAATTATTTTAATATATTATATTAAAAATAAATTTTAAAAAATAAAATAAATATTTTAATATATCTTAAAAAATATTTTAAAAAATAATTCCTACTATAATACTAAACATTAATATAATAGATATAAAACATGGTTGGTGAGGTAGGTTAAATTGAGAGCTATTTAAAATTGTATTATAAATGGTGTTTAATAAAAAAATAATTTTTTTATTTAAAATAATTTAATTTTTATATTTTTAGATCATTTTGATGTGCTAATATTAAAAATATTTTTTTAAAAATAAAAATATTATTTTAATATATTTTCAAATTAACTCATTTTAATAAACAATTGCTATTATATTCTCAAACATCCCCTTAAAATAAATAATATTTTAAGATTTTTATTTTAAAAAATAAAAAATATTATTTTAAATTTATTCTTAAATTAAACTAAGCCTCACTTGAATTTAAATTGGATCAACTATATTCCAATTTAACATATCAAATAATTTTCACTCAATTTAATATATATTCTAACCATTGACATTTAATAATTCTACTCTTATAATTACTTTTGCCTTGGTGGAGGTGTAGTTCATGTGGTTGTAAATATTTATTTTTATTAAAATAAAAATAATTTTAAAGTACTAGTACTTTAGAATTATTTATAATTAAAAAAATATTTTTAAAAATAACACATTTATTCATGAATTTCAAGATTTTGAGGTGGTTTATAATATTAAATTTTGATTCAAATTTAGAAAAGTGCCGTGAAAAACAAAATTAGTGTAAACATACATTTAGTTTTGAATGATTTGCTAAGAATGGAGAAAGATTTTAGTCTCAATTTAAAAATGTTTAATCAAGAATTATTCTAGATATTAAAATAAAAAAAATATTTATTTTATAAAAATCTAATTTGAGTTTAGTGTGAAAGAAACTAGGGGGGATTAGACGTGATTAGTCATCACTCCAATATTAATTATTTCTTTAAATGTACTTTTCTTTTTCCCCCTTTTTCTGGGGATAACCATGCAATTGTAAATGTTGCTCCAATAATTGAAGTGAAAGATCATTGAATTAATTGGTTTGATTTTGATTTTGATGTAGCAACCGATATGTTTTAGGTTTGCGATGAGAAATGGTTTGATGTAAGGGGAAAAGAATAGTAAAAACTAAAAAGATGTTGGAGTGTTCTTTGAAATGTCCTCCTCAGGATTTTATTTCAATGGAATCAAAATTGAATGATGGAGTACAACACAAGTGTTGGAAATATTTTTTAATTCTTTAGTTGGTGTTACAATCCCTCTTTGAATTTATTTGTTCATTCAACCCTACCTATTTTAATAAATGTTTGCAATTTTTTTCACCACTTGAAAAAAAATCTTAACATTTTTTTTTTGTTTAAAATTTTCTTAGTCCATGAGACTAATTTTACACAAAAAATTATAATTATAATTATTTAAAAAAAATTTATTTAAAAATAAATTAAAATAATTTTTTAATTTTTAATTTAATCTTAACATCATTACATTAAATTATCTAAAACTATTAAAAAATTTCACTTAAAAATACATCAAAATACTATCTTTTATTTTTTAAAAATTTATTTTTAACATTAACGTATTATTATAATAGCCTAAAAATATTAAAAAAATAATTTAAAACAAACTATTATAATAGCCTAAAAATATTTAAAAAATAATTTAAAACAAAATACAATTTTTTAATTTTTTAAAAGAGAGGCCAAAACTCAAATCTAAACACCCCTTAAGAAAACTACTTATGGGAGTTCAGAACTATGGTATCTTTGTGCTGCTACTCACTTTCTCATTAAGCTATCAATCCATGGAAAAGAATCAATGTAATATTACAAATATCTGGGTGAACGTAATACATAAGAAAGTAGAATTGCGTATATGAAAAAAGCACCGGAAGAAAACTGTCCAGGTATAAAATTGTTGCAACAAATGTCTCTTGCTGGGCAAAAGTACATTACTAGATCCAACAAACACTACTGATTGCTCGTTACAGAACACATGAAATCAATGAGGATAAATGAAAATCACAGCAACCTCTGTCAAAAATGAAAAGGAAACCTCAGGCACCATTTCCAGGAGCCATTTTCTGCTGCTGCAACTCCCTGTCAGCCTTCCTCAAGAATTGATCCCAACCACTCCCTGGGCCGGTATCCAAATAATCTTGTGGAACTGCTGTTTTCAGACCTGGACGGATTCCACACTGGCTCTCCACGATTCTGAAGTCCACTACATTCTCCACTTCCTTGAGATTCTGCTCCAGTTCTTCCCAAGTAAAAAGCAGTGGGAGTGTAAACGCACCCCATGGGTTAAAATCCAATATCTTAGCACGCCCATCCTTTGTCACATAAACATCAAACGTGTAATGTTCTGATTCAAATTTTTGTCTCACGTTCTCAGTGAAGAATTCCTTGATCAACAGTTCAAGGTCATTTTTCTTCTCAAGGAGAGTGGGATAAAATGTAGTGACCTCCCTCTGTGAGATTCCAACTAGCTGGTGGCCCCGAACAAAGCAACGAAATTCCATCTCAGGCAAGAAAGATGAATACCACTTGCGAAGTGCAAGAAAGAAACTAGGGGGTCTTGACAAGGTTTTGTCAATGCATGAATCATAAGCGTGGCACAAATCGTGGACCAATGAGTCAGATGACCGCAGCAATAACGCTATCTCACTGAATGAAGTGCAGCGAAGGGTCCCAGATGTGCTAATCCAAGCAGAATCTTTTGGTGCACTCCAGTTCAGCTTAGGAAAAACTGCACCTCCTAGGGTATTAATTGACTCCTTAATATTCAATTCAAGTTCAGGGAAGGAAGGGGGCAATGGAGGTTGTTCAGATTCATCTCCAGGTCCCTCTGACACCTGATAGTCTTCTTCATCTATGGGGTTGTGAATTCTGTTTGGCAAGGCATCTTCGCCTGAGATAGAAAGAGGGAGGAGGAAAGGACCTGAATCATCATCGAGGTACTCAACAAAAGATTCTGGAAGTTCATGGATTACTGTTCTGATAGATACAGGCTTGAATTTTGGGTACCATTCCTGAATCTGGCATCGGTTCACATCTTCTTCCTTCATTGTCAATGACTTTAGTTGCTTCTCCTGCTACCTGGTATATAACAAGATATGAACATGATTAGCAACTATCATATTATTTCATTCTGTATTCTCTGCTTTCAACTTAATCTACTACTAGATGGATTTACTTGATTCCTCCAAGGTAACTTTTGGAGAAAATGAATACTAAGTGATCATTGGATATGACAATCACTGTCAATTATTGTTTGAGCTCCCACATAAATCATGCAACAACCATTAATGATAAAACCATGTTAAGCTAATTCTTTATATATTCTTATGGACACCTTCACTGTGGCAGCTACCATAAAAATGACTACAAAGCACCAATATCAAAAGGTTCCATAACAAACAAGCAGCTCATATATAACAAAAATACAGGAACCAGGGAGCTGCTCTTATATAAAAATCAGAATCCACAGAAGAATGAACATTGAAAATTTAGACCTAACTTTTAATAGGATGTGCTTTCATAACAAGGGAACAGATTCCATACAAAAATTAGTTAATGTTTTCCAATTTTTTTGACAGGCTACATTTATTGGAATATCCATCATCACTATATCTTTGAATTTCCAAAAACAAAAGCTTATATCTACTGAAGCTCTACAACTGCAAAGCCGATCCAATCAACAAATGCAGGAGCAATTACAATACAATTTGAGAGCTAATATAAGCAGCATTGGTACTAAACATCACCAACTCAATTGGCGGTTCAAAGAATGCAAGCAACATGTTATAGCAACGTCATAGATACTGCTTAAACCAATTCCTTATAAGCTGATGGTTAGATTACAACAAGACTGCTAGTGTTGCACCGGAATCAACATAGCTACTCACCAAGTGCAAACTAATTTGTCTCACCTGCCTATGAACGGTTGATCATGAGGTTATTGTCAACTAAATTATAGACACCATAAACATCTCAATGTGAGGTTCATGCATCAACAAGAACATATAGAAACCAAGTTCAAATAACAAAAAAATATTACAGTAATGCCATCAAGATTCACAATTTAAGCATTTCCTCTACAATTTCTATTTTTTAAAGAACACAATCAATCTCATCAGAAAAAATTCACACAACCTAACCAAAATACCCCTTATACCAACAGCATGGACCAGTATTATTCAGACAAATGGATATTTTTGCTCGTTAATAGAAGAATTAACAAGAAAATAAACAGCCCAGATATAAACGATGAAAGCATAAACTCCTAATCAAACTTAAACATGTTAAGCAAAATCCATAAAGACTAGAACTTTAGACAAACTTGTAGAAATCCTACAAGCAGAATCATCTATCTTAAATAGAAAACTCAAATGGGAGAGAGTGATTCTCGTTCTTACGTGTGTACAATGTTGTGATTTTAGAGGAACAGAGGTGGGCAAGAGGGAACTTTGTGTGGAGAAAGGCCGGTGCTTCACAAGTTTTACAGCAGAAACTGGAAGTTTCTATAGCAGAAGAAAGACGGGAAGTAAAGGGTATGAGTTAAATTGCCTTTTGTAATTGACAGGGATTGTGAGTCACTGACAGGGATAAAATAGGAAATTAGATAATGAAGTGGTAAATGACAAGGTTGTTAAAAGCACTATTTTGACACGACACGAAATATACAATATAAACTTGAATAGTAAACTCAAATCGTAAAATATTTTAACTAATTATATTTTGACAATTCCAGTCAAGTAGTAAATAATAATATAACACAATTTAAATAAAAGTGAAATAAACATTACAAATGTCCAAACATCTTAAAATATATAATTCAAATAAAAATTCATACA